AAACTACTTTTTACCCACTTTCAACAGCAAGTATAGCAAAGCCGCTCTCTGCCAGAGCAGAGGCATCAGACGCATCTGGACACACTTTACTGGATGTGCTTCAGGAGTGTCAAGGATGCTCTTCTAAGTATAACTTATTGGCTCTTCTGTCAGAAATCATGTGAGAAATTAACCACGGTTGGCCTCTGGATTGTTTCCACTTCCCAAATATGGCGCCCTTATTTGAACACACAAAAGATTAGAGCTCCTTTTATCTAAAGCTGTGTTTGCTGGGAGAAACATTGGAAATCAGAAACCTTGGTATAGTCCATCAGGTTTTTATGCAGGATTTCTGCATAAATACTGATAATTTTCAACAGCTCTCTTTACTTTCTATGCGTGTTTGCACTTTCCATTCATTAGTTCAAAAATATATTTACTGTGTCATTTAACTTCATAACATATTTTTCTTGATTATTTCTTTTTTCTTTTTATGCATCTGTTCATTCTGCAGGTTGCTACACAAATGTGACCTCATTTTCAATAAACCCATTACCAAGAACAGACAAATTACCAAGAAAAAAATTGCCATGTTTCGATTTATTTCTCACCATACCATCTTTCCTTGTACAGCTTCCACAGGTGGAACAAAGCCATGGCAATAAAATTAAAAATATATATTTTTAAAAAACTCACTTTTGGTTTGTTTCTAATATTTCACATTTTAAAAATTGTCTTAAAGCAAAAAATGCTTTAAAACAAGTTTTATAAACTTTTAAACATTAACATGTTTCTTTCTTTTTGTAATGAGTTTCAGGAGAAGAAGAACTTTGAGTTTTTTCTAAGACAATAAAGGAAGAACGACCAATGCCTCCTTTCTGTTTACCACTCTACCCATCTGCACTCTGCACTGAACCTGTTATGTTTCGATTGTCTCACTGATGGCTGGAGTTATGACCTGAAGCTCCTCCTCCAGCAGCTTGTGATCTTGGCTGCAGGCCTATTTCAGAGATACTTTCTTTTTCCTGTACCTGCTGTTGCATTAGCTGTTTCATGGTGGTTTTTTGGTTTTGGTTTTGGTTCTGGAGAAGTGTTGGTCCGTCATTAACTGATTGACGTATTTAATGAATAGTCCCTGCTTGTGTATAACTCAGAAACAATGATGTGTCTTTCTTTCTTTCTCTTTTCAAACAGCCCTCAGGCATGGTTTAATTTTGCAAATAGCAAAATGATATCCTTTAAATGTTAGAAATGAAATGAATGCTCTTGTGTGTGTATTGTAACCTATTTAGGCAGGGGTTGTCACAGCTGTTTTTTTCTTTTTCTTTTTTAATAAACGTTAACCTCCACACATCGCTTTCAGTTTGACTCCAGCCATTGTGATCTTTAAAATTTTTGTAGATGCTCTCAAGTTTTTTAGCTTCATACAGTTTTGTACAGTGGGGCATGCTGTAAAATCTTCAGCTGGTCATTCAAAAACTCATTTCATTCCATTCACCTTCTACCAACATACAGCCGATCCATTCTGTTGCCAAGCAGCACTCTGTTGCCATCACATTACAGCACTGCACAGCACGGCTCAGTCCTGCTCCAGAACAAAGCTTCTTGAAACACAAGCTTGGTGGGGATGGAGCCAAAACACGGAAATCCTTTGAAATAACTCTTCAATAACATTAAAAGTAAAATTATGAAACGAACATTGTAAATTAACTAACATATAATGGAATTAATTTAACAATCATACTTAATGGACAAATTACCATACTTGATATATATGTATTGTATTACCTGTATAGGTATTTAAAGAAATGGAATGCTCAGGTTAAATGGAAAATGTTCAAGACCACAAGAAAAAAAAAAGTCCTTTCAGAGATAGAATTGAAAAACTATGCAAATAACTAAATGGATGTAAAAAAATAAAATAATAATAATAATGCCATGGTTGTAAACGCCTATTGAGCCTGTTAGGGGGTTATAAGATCTAACAGCAGCTGGAAGGATTTGCCGTTGCTTCCTTTGTGCCTCTATGTGGTCAGGAGTCCTACAGGCCACTAAAGGGCTTCTTGTGGCTTAATGCTGCTTGGGAGATATTCTGACAGTAATGTTAGATTTCTTACAGTTTCCCTGCCCACCGTGTCCAGGGGGCATCCTAAGACATAGCTGTCCATCCTAATGAGCTTATCCACCAGCTTCCTCTCAGCTACAGATGAACTGCTCCAACATACCACACCCTAAAAGATGGCTGATGCCACCACAAGCTTTAGAAGGTCTAAAGGAGTTCTGCCTGCACTCCAAAAGATTTGTCTCCTCAGAAGACAGGGTCAATTTTGGCTCGAATTTAGTCGTTCCAGTCCATTTTATGTTAAGCTGAATACCCTGATATAAATGTGATGTTTACATCAGCCTCATGTATTTCTCAACCACCAGCTCCTTGGTTTTCCCCATCTCAGCCTTGATGTGGTTCTGTTGCAGTTTACACAGCTGTGTATTTCCTGTCTCATCTGTGATGAAGCTGACTGTAGCATAGTTCTCTGAGACCTTCTGAAGGTTGCAGGCAGTTGATGGAGGGATTTTCAGTGTAGAGGGTCAACAGGATCTCTGCCATAGTATTTCCTTGCGGTGGTCCTGGGCTACAGCCCTGCCTGTCAGACATGCAGTCCTGCCTCCTTACATCATGTATGTCCTCAAGAGCCGCTGTCCTGCAGGCAGTAGGGGTTCCCCCTGCTTCAGCACAGCTGATTTCCCTTAATAGCTGATTAACAAGCTTTTGTTGAACTGCAATCACCTGAATGAGCTCTGCTGAAGCTGGGAAACATTGAAAAGCTTTAAGGCAGGGTTCTCAAGGACCTCAATCGCCTGGATCTGATGCCCTCTGGACCCGCAGCCCTCCTCACTTTGATCTTTAGTCTGAGAAAACAAGGGCTGCGCAGTTCAGGAGGAAACGCAGGTAGTCATCAAAAATCAGGGAGTCTAAAAATGGGACACTGGGAAGGGGGAGGAGCTAATGACTAAGAAAGTACTGATCCAGTCAATGCACCCCGCCCGTCTCCTTAAGCGTGGGAGCTCTGTTTGTGACCTAAAATAACTCAACCTCCTCTTTTCAGTGGGGAGATCACTCTACCCACCTGTTTAGTTTAGGTCATGTCTGAGTTTCCTAAACACATTTCACATGACTGAAAACTGATTTCATATCCTACTGCACAGCTTTTAGATCAGAGGCTGTACCGCTTTGTTAGTGTTGTCATCTCCCTCAGATATGAGTCAATTTCCTCTCCTTAAGTTGAAAAAAAAAAAAACATTTCAAAAGTCTGTTATCAACATATGTAAAGCAAGTCTCTGCATGCAGCTGAGACAGCACTCAGCCCAAAACAGACAGCTGCAGCACTTTTTTGTGAGTGTATATGTCTGCATGTCTGAGTCAATATTGATACAGGGATGATCTGTCTGCTCTCATCTCTCCTGGAAATAGCTGGTTAAGATTCCTAATCTATAATTTGCAAAAACATGAAAGAAAGGTGTTTAAACATTAGGCAATGTGAATCACTTAAAACCCAGCCTCAAATAAAAAAGTAATCCCTTGACACTGAGTGCACTTAAGATTATTATTTTTTTAATTACACACATGTATGAAAAGCGATTGGCTTTGCTGAGGTTCCAGTGTGTTCCAGCATGACGTTCAATCTCTTAACCACAAGCATTCATGTTCAGATGGTATCTGTCTCCCAGAGAACATGTACAATAACAGAGTAGATATCCTTTCAGCAATCTCATCTGATCTACGCTGCTTTGGTCCCCATATTCAGTAGGCAACACAATATAGCTGAAGGAAAAGTTGAGTTATAAAATGTTGAACAGGGCCCCAAACAGAATTGTGTTTCAGGGCCCATATCCAGCACCAAAATTGCATGACTTCTCATGCATTGTGCTTTGTTGGCAAGTACTGATTTCTTTAACTAGACATTCAGACCCCTTTGCTTTTTTTTTTTTTTCAAACAGGGAAGCGTTACACCCTAAGAAATGTGGCCTCCCCTCCTTTGCGGATTACTCAGCAAAAGTGTTTGGAAACAGTTGTGATTTTGAAGAGATCACATGGGTTATGAAGCAAAACAATAATCCAATGCAAATAAGCAAGTCCAACTCTGAATAGGCCAAAAATAAAGGTTTTATGGTACTTCAGTCAAAGACAGGACCTAAAATAGTTTGAGATGCTATGATATGTCCTTACATATACTGTTTATGCTCAAAAAAACATTTACTGTGACAAAAATGACACAACTAAGTTTGGGCAAAAGTTTTCCCATATGTAAAGAAATGTATAACTGTAGATTACCGCAAACTCTATAGGAGTATTATTGCCTTAATTGGTGACATTTCTAGGATGATTATCAATTTAAAAATAAATGTATCTAATCATTTTATCTTTTTCCTACAAGTTGAATTCTATTATTTACCATGTTTAAATGTGACATATAATGTAAAAAATCTAAAATGAAGCAAATGCTTTTCCACAGCACTGTAAGTCTAAGTGAAACGATGGAAGCGCCAAAGACAAAGTAATTGTATCAATACATTTCTTCTAATTGTCTTTTCTCTTTGTGTGAGTTTTTCAGATTAAATTATTCTTATTGCCAAATTGCCAGACAGGACCCTGTAAAAAAAAAAAAAAAAAAAAAAAAAAAAAAACAATAAAAATATGTTTCCTGGATGGGAAGCGTAACCTCTTCAAACTTGGAAACAAAGTTCAGTGGATTGTTTTTCACATGTTTTGGAATGCAAACTCAGTAATGTTTCCCTATTTCAATTAATCTGCATCTTGATTATTTTTGTGTTATTATTATATTATTATCTATTTTAATGATTTTACGTTATTTTTCATTCATTGGGTGGCAGCTACTGTATGACAGGTTAAACACATGAACAGGATAGTGAAGGGAGGAGCGACAGCCCTTATTTGTACAGTCCTTTGCGCATGCGCAGCAGCGCGCAGCAGTTGAACATTATGACGCCACCCATTCATTAAAAACAAGACAAGTCCGGACACACACCGTCCGTCCGACAGCCGGTGGACAAGCGCAGGCTGTTCTGGCCGAACCCAGTGGGTCCTGGAGAAAAACAAAACAAGACAGAGAAGAACTTAAGGAATAACCTTCGGAGGATTCATTTTAAAAGCTGTGAGCGCATTTCTGGACCAATATAGAAAGCGCTCGGACCAGTTTGTGAGCTGCCGTTCCTCGGGAGCATCGCCCTACCTGTCAGAGGAGGACGCTGGAAGAAAGAAACATCCTGTCGCTGACAATGACCTTGGAGGATGAGCTGACAACGGCCTCGGCGAAGGGAGACACGGCCGAGGTGAAGCGTCTGCTGCTGAAAGGAGCTCCTGTTAACGGCCTTAATGGGTTTGGGCGAACGGCTCTGCAGGTCAGTGGCTCCAGATGCGCTCAAGCATCCGCGGAAAAAACAACAACATCCAACAGCGACCACTGCTAAAGGTTCTGCCGGAATTATCAATGTTAAAAACTCAGGGGCCGCTTTTAAAAACAGGCTGTGGAATCAGGGTCACTAAAAAAAAAAAAAAAAAAAGAATAGTCACGGTCCTAATGACGCACTGTCTCATGAGCATGGATATATATATATATATATATATATATATATATATATATATATATATATATATATGCTATATATAATATTGACTGATTTTAAACATTTATCTCATTTAAAAGCGGTGACGGGAATTTTTTTATGGCTTAGAAAGAAAAGTGGGATGCATTTCAAAGCCGCCCAGAAACGAAACCGCACAATAAATATAATATACACACAGTTTTGTTTTCATGATTAGTTTTCATGTTGACTGCAGGCTTAATTTCCATTATGAGACCTGATATTTAGGCTGTTATTAAAGTACACTTTTAAGCAGCTTTATCTAAAAAATACAATAATCCCGTAAAGTAAGTTTTTTTTTAATATATGCCTATATATATATATATATAAATTAATCATTAAATAGTGGTTTAATTTTTAAATTGGTAGTAATTATAAAGTTGCTTGATTTTTTTTATGTATATCTATGAATTGGTTGTAAATACATTAAATAACGCAGAGCAACTGAGAGCATAATGGATTCTTTTTTCTAACTCTACAATAGTGTTTTGTTAATTAATCCAACAGGTAAAACTTGTTAGGAATGCAGTAGCCTATTAGTGCGGCTGGTTTAACAGAAGAAAATATTTGCAGAGCTTCACTTTCAAATCAGTGACTGTAAGCAATTCGGTTTATTATTTTTATTTTTTGTGTAATAGCGTTTAAAATGAAAATAAGTTTTGTTTTTGTTTTTTTGCATATGTCCAATCAATTATGCTCATTGATTTTTTTTTTTTTTTTTTCCCGGGAGAGAACCCTTTTTGTCAGTAGATAAATTGATGTCCCTGTTGTGTTGTGTGAAGGTGATGATGATGGGCAGCTCGCCGGTAGCTCAGCTCCTGCTGGAACACGGAGCGGATCCAAACGTGGCGGACAGCAGCACCGGGTCCACCCCGCTGCATGACGCGGCCCGGACGGGCTTCCTGGACACGGTGCGGCTCCTGGTGGAGGCCGGGGCCAACCTGCAGGCCCGAGACAAAGCGGACTGTCTCCCGATTGATTTGGCCAGACAGAGCGGACACAGCCATGTGGTTTCCTTCCTAGAGACTCTATAAGCAGTGTTTGCTTTGATATTTCTTTATTTAACTCTGTTGGTTCTGATTGAGGACCGAAAATACGGCCCTGAAAAGGCCTTAATTTATTTCTTTATTTAACCAGATAGGTCTTTTATTAGACACATTTAAAATTATATATTTTACAGTTATTAATTTTTATTTAAGAGGGTGCTATAAAATTTTATAAATGTCCTTTGCTCTTCTGAAAAAATTGTCCCTGGACCTTTTTTTTTTTTTTTTTTTTTGTAACTTGTAGCACTCAGAGCAAAATAAGAAGACATGACTTTTTGCACATGTAATAATTCTTTTAAACTATGCACTATTATAAAATCAATACAGAGACACGTTATAGAAATAGTGAATGAACCTTTGATGATTAAAAAAGATGTATTATAGATGTAAGGGTTTTAAACCCTTGAAAAGTAAAGATAAACATGCTTGAAATTGCGTGGAAATTGGATCCTTCTTTTACAGGCTAGTAAAAGATACAGTGGGAAGTCTAGCTCTGTAAGGACAATTTAAATGGATTTAGTTTGATGCACTTTCTCAAGTCTGGGCTAAATGATTAAATGCAAGAATGGAGTAAAGCTTGTAATTGCTTCTTTTATTTGACTAAAAACAGCCACCTTAATTCAAAACCTGGAACACATTTTTTTCTTTTTGTGCATAAGGTTAAATCAGTATCGGCAGGTTTGACAAAGAAATCATGAAGTTTGTACTGGCCTTGAATAGCCTGATAAATGCAGATATACCCTGGGCAGCTCCTCCTTCTGCCGACCTTATCCTATTGAAATGCAATCAGCCGTTAGATTTAGTAGAATTTTGTCCAGTTCCCATGCACAAAATTAATAGCAACCTTGTTCAGGGCATAAATTACATAAGCTAAATACCATAATCTGGAGTTTGGGCATGAATTCCATTTCTAAAGCCTCTTTAAAGCCCAAATCAAAAATCCCCAATGCACGTGGCAAATACCAATACTCCACTGGAATGGCCTTTATATCATCTGCATTTAAAAACATTAGCTTAACCCATTACCTCCAAAAAATAATTGGATTAGTTTACATATCAAGCTTTGTGGCAATAACCTGACAAACTGTGTATCCATTAATAAATTATTCATTGGAAAAAAAAAAACTGATTTCCAGCATTCAGTTCATCTCAGCTTATTCATATAGTGCCAGTCTTTAACTCATTATAAGTAGTGACTGGAACATTTCAAAGCTGCTTTTTCTGTAATCCAATCCTTCAGATTTTCTGCTGAGATTTTGCATTTAAACTAAAAAGAACAAAAAAAAGCAACAAAGAACATTTGTTTTCTTTTTTCATTTAACTTGAGAAATTACCTCAAAGTTTTGCTTTATATTTTTATTCAGATATTGTTTTTCATGCAGATGCGTTTACAGTTCCGCCATAAAAAAAAAAAAAGAAAAGAGGAAATGCAAGTGAGCTGGATATTGTGCAACACACAGAGCAATGAAAAGTAAAGGCAAACAAAATAACAAGATAGAACACAAAACATGATTTAAGTGAATTGAAACGCTGGACTTACGGATAAACCTACAGTTTTCCTATTTTATAAATTTGCATGAAATATATGTTCTGCAAAAACTACATGTAGCACTTAAACTGCAAGTTCTATTGTCAATTAATTGTAAGATAGCAGAAAGAAAAAGATTATACCAAAAAGCAATTTACTAAAAAAGCAAAAAAAATATTTTTATGATCTGGAGATTTAAAAATCAAAATTTAACTGCTGTATTGAGATCAAGACTGATATAATACTTGTAGGTGCTAAACGTGCAAGTTCATCTTTCCATCTGGTTAAATTGCGACTAAGATGGACAGTTTAAAGGCAGGACATATAGAAAGTGTAAAGGTTTATAAAATACAAAATATATCACTCTGCAACATATCAAGTATAATTTCAAGACTTTTAAAAAGCATGGATCAAAGGGTGAAAAGGATTGACCTGTGAATCAGCATGAAGCTTCGAGGTGCATTTCAAAAAAGGAAAGTCCCTAAGCTCCAGCTAGACACAAACAACCGGTGCATTATTCCTGTGAGGCACTTCTCAATGATTCACCAATTATGAATCCTTAAGCAGAGTTGGGCGCCGTTTCGTCAGTGACTGGATACGTGCACGTGTTTGTGTGGGATTATTCCTCCTCCTCCTCTGGTCCAAGTTTTGATTGCCAACTCAGTGCTTTGGTAACATTACTGAACACAGAGCCATCGTCTGCAACGAGAAAAAGGAAACCACTTATCCTTTCATTTCATAGACTTTATTTCAGATGCAGTGATGAGGAAGTTGTTGAGAGTTTTTTAGGAGCCTGTTTTCCATAGTGAGAATAGGAGAAATGCGATGAATGATGAACATTCAATTAGGGCTGCTACTAACAATTATTTTACAAATCCATTAATCTGTTGATTATTTTTTAAATTAATTGATTAATAATCGGATAGCCAAAGGCTTTTTAAAGAAGATGTTTTATTAAACTAAACCAGGTGAAACTAAAACTTTTCCACTTTAGAAGTTCTGGATAGAGCATAGTGACAGAAGAAAAAGATTTATATAGAAATATTTATATATATATATATATATACACACACACACACACACACACACACACACACACACACATATATATACATATACACACACTTTATTTTTTTTTTTAACTATTTCCATATAATTACTGCTCCCAGCAGGTCGCTCTGTCAGCAAAATCATAGTTTACAGTCTATATTCCAGTTCACGTTAATCGATTACTAAATTAGTTGACGATTATTTCAATAATCGAATAATCATGATTAATCCAATTAATTGTTTCAACCCTACATTCAATTATGTTCAAAATAAGATTCTTCCAAAATAACTAATGGGGTCAAAAGCTATATTTGACATATTTTATCATTTTAAAATTATAGGTGTAGTAGAGTAATTGAAACATACACAGCAGTCTTTGTGTGAAGGACACGTTAACTAAAAGTGCTTGTTTAAAATGGAGGTCAATCAGCGAGGGTAATTATTCAAAGAATCATTGGCATTTTAAGAGGTATTTTACCCTAGATTGAGATTAAAACCTCTTGTCACAAGGTTGTTTTATGAGGTAAATACAGGAAATGTGGGATTTTGTTTTTGGTCCAATAAAGCAGTTCTCAGAATCACAGTTACAAATCCAAGCCCAAAATTAGCCAATCCCTTGTTTTTTTGTTTGTTTTTTTCCCCTCTATATATTCTTTATAGACATGTCATAGATATCAGTGTATCCTGACAGAAAAAAAAAAACGAATAAAAAAAAAAAAAATCCGAAATCTCAACAAACCAGTGTAAATGTCAACTCTTTACATATCCATATTTCTGACTATTTATTTCAGGTGATTATCTCTGAGGGTTTTAGGTTGGGAAAGCCTCCTTACCATCACCTTGATCTTTAGCTCCCACAGATTCTCAGTTTTAAACTGGAAATCTAGCTGGGTAACTAAACGTTTTAATACCACATACATCTAGAAGACAAAATGTGTGTGAAATTCTTATTCCTTTATTACAAATGGCAGATATTTACAAGGTTTAACATGTAAATATGCCAGATTTAGCCAGAGACATAAACGCAAAATGAATACTGTACAAGATATGTTAAAATTAAATGAAACAGTAAAGTAAATTAAGATCACTTATTTACAACTACATAATTAGTAAATCACAAAAGATAGCCAAAATCTAACAAATAGATGGATAATTTTAGGCTCAACCAGAAATGTAAATCAGTTCAGATTCTAAATAAAAATATACCTACAGTATTTATTCAATTTATGCAGTTTCCATAAAGCTGAAACATGTTGAATTTTTCTTTTTTTTTCAGCACGTTTTGAATTAAGCATAGTCTTCTCCCATTACACTTTAATGTATGGGAATAAAGTTATTCTAGGGATATAGAAAATATTTATCGTCTTTAGACATTTTAATTATTATTCTATCTCTTTTTAAATGACTGATAAGAGAAATTTACTTCAACTGTTACCAGAGTTAAACGACAGGAAAAAACTTTGACTTTTTGTTGAACTCTACATAATTACTTCCACATAATGTAAATTATCTCATACAGAGTCTAACTTTATGCTGGTAAAGCAAAGGAGCGTTTTAGGGTAGTTTCTTTTGGGTTCTGCATTGAGGTTTTTGACAGTTGTGTTTTACTGAGGAACTTCAAAGTTGGTGACAAATAACGGGAAAAAAAAAAAAAAAAAAAAAAGAAACAGGAGCTTATTTACAGGATGAAGCCCTAAAAAGGATGAGTGAATTGTTCCAAAAGACCTTCCTGAAGTGAAACAGAGCGTCTCTTTGCTTACTTTTAAGTTCTTCACGGTCTGAGTCCAGTCCATCTGACTGATCTGTGGTATGGCAGTAAGCAGGATGCTGCTGGCTTTGTTTGCGTTTTCTTTCATCGTCTTCAGGACATTGTCGACACAAACCTAAAACACAGCAGAAAATAGCAGCAGCAGCATTATACCATAGATGATCCATCTTTCATTAATGTCACAAACTGTTTGCATCCCATTCAAAATGACCATGTTCCTTTTTTATTTGACTTTCTGTTAGCGGGTTACATGTATGGGTATCCCAGCCATGACCTCAGACAGTGGCTTGGGTTAATAGGAAGTTTTCAAAGTCCTTTCAGTTTTCTTTTCTTGCTCCAGGCTCAATTAAAATAAATAATCATGGAAGGTTAGGTTAATCAGCTGAACAGGTTCTTCTTTCACAATTTTCCTCTTCATGTCTTCTCCAAAAGAAATGTCAACAAACAAGAACCCAACTTTTTTTTTTCTCTCCTACCAGAAGTATTAAGATAAAGCAGGATAAATTATCACATTAAATACAAAATAGTTAATTTATAAATCTAAATTACAAATTTCATTCTTCTTTAAAGCAAAAAAGGCTTCTTAGTCAAGTAAAGTTAGAGGAAGATGTTGAAACCAGCCTAACTTTAGAGAGACCTTATCATGGTTTGGCTTTCTTAAACATACACCGACTAATGAGTTCCTGAGTATAAACATACCCGCAGCATCATGCTGTCACTACTATATTTTACTATGGGGACAGTCTGTCATTGTGTTCCTCAACAAGTTGCTAAAACTAAACTGCGCCATTCAAACGCATATGGTCTAAAACATTTCCATCACTGTAGGCTGTGTGTTTAGAGGCATTGTACTAGCAGATTGTCTTCCAGGTTGCCTTTTTGTTTTTTATTTGTTGCTCCAACTCCCCATCAACTCTTCTGACCAGCTTCCCTGTTCTTGGTGAAAAAAATAAAGTATCTCTACAGCATGATGCTGCCACTACTATGTTTTATCTGTGGTGTGCTGCGTTCACTGGGACGTGTCGCGTTAGTTATCTGCCGGACAAAGTTTTGCCCATCAGGCAAAAAATTTCCCCTTCGGTTTCATCTGAACAAAACACATTCTTTCACATCTCTGTTTTACTTCCTACATTGTTTGTGGCAAAAATGACTTATTAGTATTTCCTTTGGCAATGCCTTCTATCATCTTTGATAAAAGACGGTTGGGTATTGTTTTAAAAAACCTTGAAATCCTTTTCCCCGTACTCTACAGACAAGCACTCCTTTAGGATGGCAGGGATGTGATAAACAATTGAAAATAAATTATTTGCTTATCAAGCCAATTTAAACATATTTATGACATTTTTGTGCGTTTTAGCCCCTCTTAGTTTTTCCAATGGTGCATTTGATCAGCATTCCTTAACTGTTGACAGTGCTATAACTATAAAATGAAGTTTTGGAAAAGAAGAAAATAATACGAGCTGTCACTAAACTCAACTAAAATCAATCAATCAATCTTTATACCACACACAAAAATTGTCCATAGTAAAAAAGGAAATTCTTCATAAGAAATTCTTCAAGCTATAAAAAATATAGATTTATGACTGAATGTTTGACTTATCTTTGCCTGTTTAAATACAGTATATCGTGACAGGACATATGACTGAGACTACGGTACAATGAAAGAAAGTTGCTGCCTATACAACTCTACAAATAAAAAAAAATAAAAATCTCTCTGCTCCATATTTATCCAAACATAAAAGTTTTGTGTCTATTAAGGAAATATTGACACCCCTTTAAATGATACACCTGTTTTAAACAAAAAAACTCAAAGTGCAGAGGCAGACGTTTTCTATAATTAAAATAGTCATTCATTTTGAACAGGAAAGTCTTTAGAAGTTCCATCTCGTAATTTTTCAAATTTCCTGTCAGAAATTATTAAGATTTCTTGATTTGTTTCCTTTTATAAGTCTAATTAAAAGAAAGGCTGTAAAATCTGCACATTTTAAAGCTAAACTTACAGGTACGTGCAAATGCAGCTCGCTTGTTCAGCGCATGTTTTGTTTGATGAGGTAGTTTGCCACGTTTTCTCTCATCACACAGCTGATTTACGAGTGGTTAACATTGTGTCAGCATAAGTGTGTGTATGTAAAAGCAAAACAAAATGGAACAGACTCTCACTTAATGCCATTAATTGAGAGCCTGTTCCATTTCCTAAGGGCTGTTATGTAATTTTATTGTTCATGTAACCCTGAGGATTTACTTAGCAACTGTAAAATGATTTTCATGAAGACTAAATATGTAACTTAGGGTCCAATATGACAGTTCTACCAAAAGCTGATATTTATCATAAATATTAAATAAATCTAGAAAATAATTTGCTTTAAAGCTGCATATCTTGCGTATGTACATGTTTTTTCTAATATTCTGGTCGATAATCATCAGATATCAGTTAATATATCAGATTAGGGCTGCAACAACGAATCGATAAAATCGATAAAAATCGACTTTTAAAAGCGTT